CGGGGCGGCTGGGAGGGGGGGGCCGCGGGGCTGGGCCCGGTGGTGCCTGCAGATGGGCCCTTCTCTGAGGGGCGGCCCGGCGCCTGCAGGCGACGGTGTGGCATTCTCTGGGTTTGGTTAAAAAAAGGGGGAAACCCCCAAACCCTCCCGGGGTCTCTGTTTCCCCGGGGTTATAACCTGTCAATTCTTGCAGAACCCAAGTGTCTCAGAGGAGCCTGTCAGTGTGATGTCCCTGCTGCTCAATATCCCCCCACCCCCCATCCCCCCCCGCCCCAGATCAGGGTCAGAGTAACTCATGAGCGGGCTGCCTTGCCCGTTTGAAACCTGCTGGTGGCTGTCGCTCAGTGTCTTTGCTTCACGGCTTTTGAGACTTCATGGGGGAAAAGTCCCATTTTCCTTCCCCAAGCATCAGCTCTCATCCCTTCAACATCCAGAGGGTGCAGGTGTGGCTGGCATGGTGCTTGCTGCCTTCGGTTTGGGGGATGAGCCTGTCCATGCAGCAGGGCTGAGATGACAGGAGGCATCTGATGTGTCCACCGCTCATGGTGAGGATGGTCACCAACACCTTGGTGACCTCCTTTGCCTTGTACCAGCACGAGTGGCTGCAGGAGGGTCTAGGAATTTTCGGTGGTACTTGTTCAGCAAACCAGGTCACTGTGTTGCTGCACATTTTCCACACTGAAGGAGGAGTGAATGGTGAAGGGTTTCAGCACCTTTTTGTGTTTCGAGTGGTCTCCTGTATGACAGTCCCTGACTGTTGATGGCTGTTGGCGTTAGCTCATGCAAGCTTTGGCCAGCTGTGCCAGCGTTTGCTTCAGACACTGACCAGCAGACGTGAGGGGAGTTAAAACACTGGCTAGTGCTTTCTTAGGCTGAATCCCCCCCCAGCCAGCTGCTGGCCTCCGGTTCTTGGGTTTGGCGTCTGCACTGAGTGAGGATCTCTGCTAGAGGGGCTGGAGAAGCTGGCTCCTCCAAGAGGCTGGTTGCTTGAATGCTGCAGGTACCAGGGCTGATTTCCTAAGCTCTGCGAGCTGAGGCTGGTCACGTTGTCCCCTGTGAGGGATGACACCGTAACCTCTGCCTGCCTCACCCAGGAGTTTTCCAGCCTGCCTGCTCCTGTTGGCAGGGCAGGAGGAGTTGGTGTCTCTGGCAGAAAGCTCTCCAGGAACCTTCTCCTGTCTGCACTTTCCCAGCCCTGATGTTTTCCCTGGGCTGGGCACAGGGAGGCCTCGAGCAGGAGACTGTGGCTGTGAACATGCAGACCTGCCTGCTGCTGGGAACGGAGCTGGCTTGGCCAAGCTTCTCCTGCCACCGGCACAAAGCTGGAGCTGTCTCTGCCCTGCTTCTGATGAAGCTCCTGACCTGCTGCTGCCCTGGCATCCTTGAGCCGTGCTCTTCTGCTGGTAGTTTAGCAGCAGGGAACAAGGCAGAGTTGGAGAGATGTGGGTAGATTCTGCCCTGCATGAGCTTGTGAAGATGAAACTTTTACATTGGTCTGGGCATCATGGAGCAGCAGACTCATATGTTTTGAAAATAACATGGGAAAGTGCAACCCTGACCTTGCAAGAGGAAGATGCTGGTACCTCTGGCTGGCACCAGGGCATGGTGATGGTCTTGAACTTCTCAGGACCTTTCTTCATTGAAGAACTGGAGGCTGTAGTATGTGGCTTGTTGCTTTGTGGTAGAGGCAGCCTACCAAAATGGACAAGTGCCAACTGCTGCAGGCTTTCATGCAAATAAAGCGTCCCTTTGCTGTAACTGGTGTCTGTTAAGCTAAAGCAGCTTATCAGTGCTTAGTGGTGTTGTTGAAGCAACTGTCATAACTAATACTTGGCTCTTCTATGTGACCTGGTTGGCTTTGCTTGTCTGTCTGTCCTTGAGTGTTAGCAAAACACTTTCTGTGAAGCAGGGGAGTTGGGCTGGTGAGGCAGATCCACCCAGCTGCTGGTGTTCAGGTGGCTCGACAGCACTTAGCTGTCATGCAGCAGCCAGCAAAGAAGCATTTGGGTCAGGCACAAATATAACCAGAGCTGGACCTCATCCATCTGTTGACGAAGACTGGGTAGCTGTGTGATCACAGCCCTCTCTAGGGATGCCCTCAAGTGCTGGATTTTCTGACCCAAGGTCTGCTTCCCCATGGTAGGCATCAGGCTTGCGCTGGGGGATCTAGAGAGCTTCTACCTGCACGCCTGATGGTCAGGGTGTGCTAAATCAGGCCTCTGAGATGGCGGGTGTTGTGTCATGGGCTGATCTAAAAGAGGCTGCAGCTCTTCTGTAGTAGCAGATGGAGAAGTAGGAACAGGGCGTGGTACTTTCGTAGTCTTAAAACTAAATTTAAGGCAAACTGAGAACGTGGTCACAGCAGAAACGTAGTCTCCCAGCTCTCAAATGCAAAAAAGGACTCATTAGGGAAACTTCAGAGCCCACTGTACCTTGTCCGCATGAAGTGGAGTTCTCTTTAGCAGCTTGAAATGCTCCTGCAGAAGCAGAGGATCTGCATGAGACCTGCTACAAATGTCCTGGACGTAGGTCACTGGTGTTAGCAGCCCACTTGTTGACTTGGCTGCTGGCTGGAGGAGGTCACTGTGGTGGTAGCACTCTTGTTGACTTGGCCACCAGCTGGAGGTCCATCTGGAGGACCCTGTGAGGGTCTGGGTGTGACGTTTGGCGTGGGTGTCTCTGCTCCTCACTCTCCATCACTTGCAAATGTAGCTCCTGCCTATAACTGTTCTGATCCAAGCTGGCAGCAGTCCCAGCTTTCTCTTCCAGGAAAACATCCTAAAATGCAGGAGGACTCCATCAAACGATGCTGATGTTTTATGTACCCAAAGACTTGGGCCCACCTCAAACAGGAGCTGCATTAGCACCACTTTACTCCTTCAGGAGCAGTGCGAACCGATGATGTTTCCTTGCTGAAGAAAGCACCAAGGAGTCTGTCGGTTTGGAGTCATTGCTAATAGTGCTCCATTTATTGGCCGTCAAAGACCTGTTCTGTTCTCTGCTAAGATATTAAAGAATAGCGCTTGCTGTCTGATTCTTCCTTGGAATAACTTGTACTTGCTTGTCTGCCTGCAAAATGAGGGATGATTTGTGAGACCCTGAGTCTGTAGTGCTTGCCTGCAGCA